AATTAAATGTATATAGCTCTTATACACATTTTAATAAAAAGCAAGCCACGGCAAAACCCGTGAAGATTAAAAAAAAAAATTTCCATATTAACAATAATTCCGTATCTATTCAATATATTAAGTATTAATTTTGTATCAACAATAATTCTGTATCTATTCACCATATTAATTAAGTATTAATTCTGCATCAACAATAATTCTGTAATTATTCAATATAATAATTAAGTATTAATTCTGTATTAACAATAATTCCATATCTATTCAATATAATAATTAAGCATTAGTTCTGTAGCAATGGCAATTCCAATATATTAATTAAGCATTAATTCTGTATCAACAATAATTCTGTATCTATTTAATATATTTATTCTGTATTAATTTATTATATAACCTTATTATTCCGTATATTTAGATGATATTCTATATATTATCTATAATTTTCTTTATTATTTTAGTATATATTTTTCTATAGAGAACATTTATTAGTAGCTGACCAAATTCTGATGGCATGATTTGTATATTATTAAGTATATGTTTTTCAATTTCCCCCCAAATATTAAATTTTAAGAAATAAATATTAGGTGAATGATATTTCCGCACCCCTTTTTTGATATTTCCACACTCATGTAGATCACTTTTTTAAAAACTTTAATCAAAGGTATCTCGATGACCACCCGATCAAATTCGACGAATTTTTTATTAGAATTCTACAAGTATGCAGAATTCAAATAAAAAAAAATTTCACCGAATTGGTCAGGTGTTTTTGTAGAGATACCTTCAATCAAAGCTAGAGAAAATTTTGCCACGGCTATTATTTTGGTAGACGTTTAGATTTTTTTAAAAACTTTGATTGCGACCACTGGATCAAATTCAATGAAATTTTTTTTATTTGAAATTTACAATTATGCAAAATTTAAATAAAAAAAAATCATCGAATTTAGACAGCTGGTCATCGAAATATCTTTGATTAAAGTTTTTGAAAAAGATCTAAGCGTCTATTAATATTATAGCATCGGCAAAATTTTATCTAACTTTGATTGAAGATATCTCGGTAACCACCTAATTAATTCGACAAATTTTTTTTTTATTTAAATCCTGCATACTTGTAGTATTCTAATAAAAAAATTCATCGAATTTGATCAGTTGGTCGGCGAGATAACTTCGATTAAAGTTTTTTTTTTAAAAAAAGTGATCTACATGGGTGTGGGAATATCAAAAAAGGGTATGGAAATATTATTCGCCAAAAATTTATTAAATTTTATCTAATAGTTAACTCTTTAAAAAAAAAAAAACTTAAAAATCATAATAAGATTTTGTTCAGATTATTATTCTTAAAAATGAGTAATAAGAACCCTTTTAAACTCCGGAATATTTTCTGAATTCATGAATATTTCTGATTTCCCTGTTATATTTTATGCCAAAAAAAAAAAAATTATAACCAGAAAATCAGAAATATTTAGGAAATTTAGAAATATTCAGGAGTTTAAAAGGGTTCTTATTATAATTACAAAAAATGCTCATTTTTAATAATAATAATACTCTAGCATAAAAATCAACATCTCAACGTTGTTGACACTCTACTATTTGGCAGTTCTGTGTCACTAATTAATTTTGCTGACGCTTTGCCTTTTTTTTTTAACAGAGGTACCCGCGTAAGTGGGTACTTCTGTTAAAAAAAAAATATATAAAGCATCATTTTAATTAGTGACACAAAAAAAAAATTTTTTTTTTAAAAAAGAAAGAGGAAAGGGCGAAAGGGAGAAACAGAAGGAAAGGGAAAGTGTGTGGGATGGAGGGAAAAGGAAAGGGAGTGGGAGAGTGAGTGTATGAGTGAGGGTGGAGAGAGAGGTGTGGGGAGAGAGGAAGGGGAGAAGAGCGAAGGAGTGAAAGAGAGAAGTTTGAAGAGTATAGAGAGTAAGAAGTGAGCAAATAAGAGGCAATTGAAACTCCGACAAAGTCACGTGACTTCGGATTTCGCATTCCTGCGAAATTGAAGGAGTTTCAAACTTCGCCGAAACGAAGTTTGAAACTCTGATCAAACGGCGAAGTCACGTGACTTAGCTCTTTCGCGTTCCCGTGAAATTGACAAAATTCAAACTTTGCCTAATCAGAGTTTGAAATTTTTAAAAAAAAAATAAATAAAAAAATAGATAAAAATAATAAAAAATAATAAAAAAATTAAAAATAAAAAAATAGATAAAAATAAATAAAAAATAAAATAAATAAAATAATAAAATAAAATAAAATAAAAATAAATAAAATAAAATAAAATAAAGAGTACTCAAAGGTACACATATCCGTATCATGTGATCTATAGATTACCACTAAAATTCAAGATCAGGTGTAATGTTACACGATCAGAAAAATTCAAAACAAACATTTGTTTTGACAAAAATCACTCATTTCACAAGAAATTGAATACTAAACCACCCTTTGTGTACTAATAAAAAGTTTTTCTTGAACAATTTTACTATATAATAACTTAAAGCCTAAACCTAACATAGTTGTTACCCTAACTCTAATCTAAACAATATCAGTATTACTGGTTTTTATATAATATCATATAATAGGTACAAAAAAATTTAATGTACTCTATGGGTATAAAAATATTAACTCTATAAATATTAGTAGTAAAAAATTTTTACATTATTTCAAATAATTCGAATTATTCCAAATATAATAAAATTATATCAAATTAAGTTAAAATATATCGGAATTTGAAAATGATCAAAAATATGTATTTATAATTAAAATTAAAATCATGTGATAAGTGCTAAGGATTTTACTATAAATAGGATATAATTAGATCTACAATCAACATTGTTGTGAAAATCTAAGCATTTCGCAACAAT